GTTCATCTAAGTCTACCCTTTTAGTCAGCAATTCTCCTCCTCCAGGTCCTAACAGTCTCCCTCTTGCCCCGTAGGACCCGTCTTTTATCTCCCTGGTTCATTAATTTTACCCGATCACTGCCACCATGTCCATGCTACTCGAGGCGTAATTCTCAACACTCTACCCCAAGCCTTTGATAGCACGTATACTCCCGCTTCACTGAACAGACCTCCAAAGTCTAGATTCTCAAGCTGTATGGATAGGCGAATAAACCAGGTTAGAGGATACGTCAAATGTTTAGCAGACAATTGGTCAAATGATAGACTTCACTTGCCTCTTGGACGAGCTGTTGTGTGGAGCTAAGAATGGCAAGACTTACTGACGATGCCAACAAAATGTCTGGGAATGTATCAAGTCCACGGATCGACTTTGGAAATTATCGTGGATGTTCTGGATTCCGGAAGAGATGTCTTCGTCTAGCTCTACCTGACAATACGGCCAAGTAGCAAAAACAAGGTCAAAAAAATGCCATACAACGAAAGGAGACCGCGACTATATTGCAGGCCACACCATATTAGTCTCCATAACTTCGCTGAACTCATTTCACCTGAAGTCGAGAGCAACTCACTATGTCTGGTATTAGGTTAAGTCCTGAGCCTGATATTACTGATGACTTTGCAACGTCATGTTCAAATGCTTCTGTCGATGCGCCACGCTCCTTTACGGAAACATTAGCAGATAGAGGAGGGAAGCTATTAGAGCTGATCGAGGCGGAACCTCCTACAGCGAACGATGAGGTTGGCTTGCGCGAAAAGTTCAGCGAGCTTGTCTGATGCATGTGCATGCCACTTGAAAAGATGGGCGCCCCAGTTGGCAAGATACCAGGGAGTGGTTCAGTGAGCGGCTATAGTAGGAAGGGAAGACAAGTGAAAATTCCAATATGAAAAATGAACCACTTATTAGCCATACTTAAAAATGCAATGCGTAGATATGATCTGCATCACAGCATTTAAATGGTTGCCCCAATAGACACTATAGCCAGTAAACAACAGCAGCCTTGGCGAAATTTCGACTCGTTCACAGATTATTCCACATAAAAGCGAAACTAAGATATTCACGAGAAGCATTTTCTAAAAGGTAAACGAATGAAATCGCATAATTTAATGTTATATTTAAGATATAATATGAGAACCCGAAAATGGTACATTCCTACGAGATTCCAATAAGTCAGCAAACACAGGGTG